CCTCAGACACAGCCGGGACCAGCACAGCCTCCATGTCTACACCGACCTCAGCCACAGCCGGGACCAGCACAGCCTCCATCTCTACACCCACCTCAGACACAGCCGGGACCAGCACAGCCTCCATGTCTACACCGACCTCAGCCACAGCCGGGACCAGCACAGCCTCCATGTCTACACCCGCCTCAGACACAGCCGGGACCAGCCCAGCCTCCATGTCTACACCGACCTCAGCCACAGCCGGGACCAGCACAGCCTCCATGTCTACACCCACCTCAGCCACAGCCAGGACCAGCACAGCCTCCAACTCTGGCTGGATAACCACCCACAGCAGCTCTAGCCTGGCATTTTCTACTGGAACAGACACCACCTCCAACCCCACCGGCACAGTTGGAACTCCAGTGAATGAGGAGAAGCCCAGTGGGTCCCTAAAGCCTTGGGAAATCTTCCTCATCACCCTGGCCTCTGTTGTCATGGCCACGGCACTCCTTGCTGGGGCCATCTGTTTCGCGGTGAGTGCCTGATATATAAAGAGATGCTTAGGGAAAGGAGGAGGAGGGGATTACAGAGTCCCCAAGTCAGAAGACTTAGATAGGGAGGAAGTAGAGACGGGGTTATAATCTGAGGGATGTATCCACATCCTGAGGAGACCAGGAGTCTGAGCAAAGAGTGCCAAGAGGAATGGAGGCGGGCTGGGGTCCTAGGGGAGGAGAAGATGGTTGGAGCATGAGGGGAGAGCTGTGGGGAGCAGGGGATGGTTGCAGTCTCATCCCATGGTAAGTGCTTGGAAGAAGGAGACATGGTTCTTATACTATGGCCTCTTTTTCTAGAGAAGATGCCTGTCTCTGAGAGATGGTGCTGACATAACTTTCTACAACACCCACGACTCCGACCTTTGTCTTGGAGAACCCCAAACACCTCCGAGGAGCCCTACCTGGTCCTGGAGGAGACCAGTAATCTCCGGGGTCATGGAGATGAACGAGAGATAACAGGTACCACCCCACGAGGCCCAGGACTGCATCTTTCAGAGGAGTTCTGAGCTGCTTCCTCCTCTGCACCCCCAGGAGTCCCTTCCCAACTTTGTTTGGGTCCCTGGCATCCTTGAGAAAGATACATTCTTTCCTTTTTCCCCATCTTTACCAGACATGGGAAGGAGGACAATGCATTGGTCATTTCCCAAAGAAATAAATACATCCAACGTGTAAAATCTGGGTGGGCGTCTAAAGCTCTGAATGGAATTGTCTAGTTATATGAGGGAGCAGCCTTCACAATCTCCACAGCAAAATCCAGAGTCCTCATTTGAGATCCGCGTGTTCTCATTTTCTTAGTCTTCCTGCCCCAAGCAGGAGCCACTAAGCTGCTGTTTTAGTTATTTTTCTATTGCTGTGATGAGACACCATGACCAAGGCAACTTGTAGAAGAGTGTATTGGGGCCTAGACCTTCAGAAGGTTAGAGTCCATAACTGGCACAGCAGGGAGCATGACAGCAGGCCGGCTTGTCGTCATGTGCTCCCACATTTGAGACACAGCTAAGAGATATAAGAACACTGGGAATGACATAGACTTTTGGAACATGAAAGCTCATTCCCAGTGACAGACCTCCTCTGGCAAGGGCAAACCTCCTAACCCTTCCCAAACAGTTCTACCAACTGGAGACCAAGTATTCAACATGTGAGCCTATGGGGACCATTCCCACTCAAACCCCCACACCTGGAGGTTCAGGGAAACGGAACTGATGGCAGTGATGGGTCTATGGCAGGTGCTCTACTTCTTTATCCCGACAAAGACACCCAACTTAAGTGAAAACACTCTAAAGGGTAATAAAGCTATTATTTCAACATTTGTATTTGCAGTGGAGTACAAACTACATTCTTTGAGATTATTAAATTTATGTCAAATGTTAAATACATCGAATACAGGTTTTCAAAAAATTTTAAGAATATATTCACAGAAGATAAAAACAATAACAACTAAGATGGCCAGTAAGCACACAAGGGCATTTCCACACCAATGGAGGCTCCAGTCAGTCAATAGAGCCTAAGGAGCCTCATGGGAGCTGCCCGAGTCTGAGGGATGGGTGCCACCAATGCTCGGGGCAGCTTGTGAAGACACTATGCAGGCTTAGAGCAACCAGGCTGAATTCACGAACAATTAATTTCCATTTATTCATATTCTGTGTGGAGGGGTTTTGCCTGTGTGTGTTACCCTGTGTGTGCAGTGTTATCTGAGGCCAGCAGAGGGCATCTGATTTCCTTGAACTGGACTTACAGATGGTTGTGCACCACCCTGTGGATGCTAAGAGTCGAACCTGGGTTCTCTGCAAGAGCAGCCAGTGCTCTTCACCACCGAGCCATCCCTGATGCTGACCTGAAGACACAGCCTTGCCTATGCCAAGTGCACAGTGTGCCTCTGATCTTTAGTCACAGCCGTTTCATGTTTTGTTTTGGTTTTGGTTTGTTTTTTTTTTTTTTTTTTTTTTTTTTGAGACAGGATTTCTCTGTGTAGCTGGATGAGGAGAGCTGTGCTGGGATCAGGAATAGGCTAAAAGCAGAAACAACAAAGACTTACTGAACCACGTTGAAAAGCTGACAAGACAGTGAGAGCCGGGAAATAAGGCATTTGCTAAATAAGATTAGTAGCTTAAACCATGCAAAGATCGGTTTCAAAGCTATGCTGGGTCTCTGTATCTTGTTGCCAAAACTGCTTCCCAGGAGGAAGACATGAAAAGTCTCCACCCCTTCTCCTGGGGTCCCAGTGCCAAACTGAAGCACAGTCTACCAGAGTTTTTACTCTGGGAAACCAATGAGTTTATTTGGCTTCTCTATAGAGCATAGATAAGGGACTGCTTACAGCGCGGTGGGCGCTCGCTTCTCCTTGGCCACATCCAGCATGGCTTCAGGAGAATGAAGAAAAGACAGATACAGAAACGCGCATGGTCCAGGCTCTCTGATGAACATATTCATTATATAGCATTGAACAGAAAGGCGGGGTTATTACACACAACAAGGAGGTGGGTTTATCAAGGAGACCTGTTTATTTAGTCTTCTTAGGAGCAGCCTTTGGGCTATAAACATCCAGAAGGGAAAGCTATGGTGGACTTTTTCTGTGCACACTATCCTTTTTTTTTTTTTTTTTTTTTTTTTTTTTTTTTTCTGAGACAGGGTTTCTCTGAGTAGCTCTGTCTGTCCTGGAACTCACTCTGTAGACCAGGCTGGCCTCAAACTCACAGAGATCTGCCTGCCTCTACCTCCCGAGTGCTGGGATTAAAGGCATGCACCACCACCGCCTGGCTCTGTGCACACTATCAATAACCAGACCCGAGCAGGCTTTGTCGTCCCTCTGAACCTCATCCTAGGGGGGAAGACTTTGCCATTTTCCCATGAGTCTGAGGTTATGGAGTCCGGGACATGACTGCCCATGTCAACAACACATATTCACTCAGGGAGTCCTTCAGTCTCCACATGTCCCGAAATAGGTCATATACGGAGAGGCTTTACCCAACAGGGATAAAGGACCCCCGTAGTTGCACAGTTCCGTGGCCTTTACATACTCCTCCCCAAAGCCACGTGCAATTAAGGCAGAATTTTGTACTACAGGGATTAGGGAGCTGCTGATACCCATGTGTGGGTCTTGTGACTCTCCTTAACCCTCAAGAAGCCCGAATGGAATAAATCTTTTGCACAGAGACACAGCTGAACCCGGAGACGGTAGTCACGTGTCTCCAAGGATAATCGCTCACAACATACAAGTCTACTTTATCACATGCTTGGTCCTTAAACTCCTCACACTGATAAAGTCTTAGCCCCTAAATTCCTTGTGCTGTGGCAAACCTGTCAGGTCTCAGAGAAACCTAGGATAAGTCTCACTCAGTACCTATGGCTCCTCCCAGCACTTCTCACCCCGCCCCTACACTAAACCCCTCCTTCTCAGGGTCTGGACTTCCCTTCCCCCCAGCTTCTGGTCCCTGTATAATGCAGCCATTTTGACTGCATGGTCCCTTGGTCTCCTGGCTCGCTCCTGGCCTCTTTGTCTGCTTGCTCCCCTCTCCCCTTTTAGTTTTCTCTTCCTCTCTACCCTCCCTCTCATGGCCTGGTTCAGTATGGACCCTTCCTGATGACTCTGGGTCTTCACTCCCTCATATCTGCAATAAAAACAGTTGTGTCCTCACTTTTTTTCCCATTCAAAACAGACCTCTCTTGCTGAAAAACAAACACAAGCCCCAAGCCAGAAGACCCTGCAAGTGTCTTCCTTTGCAGCCATTGACTCTCCAAAGAAGTCATGCAAAAACTGGCCTCCGACCTGAAAACTTCCCCAGGTCAAACTGCTCTACAGTCATTCATTGTGGCCTGTCTCTTCTGATGGCACTGCTTTTCAAACTCACATGGCTGGGCTTCCTCAGCTTTGGTGGTTTTATAGTCTAGATATATTCTAACAATGACCATCCCAGAATTTTTTTTTTTAATTCAGGACAGGGGTGGGAGGAGGCAAACCCATCTACTGATGGAGGAGTGTGTTAGCCAATGTTCTGCCTTGGTAACAAAATGCATGATGGTCTACTTACAAAGAGAGGTTTATTTGGCTGGGCATTGGTGGCGCACGCCTTTAATCCCAGCACTTGGGAGGCAGAGGCAGGAGGATCTCTGTGAGTTCGAGGCCAGCATGGTCTACAGAGCGAGTTCCAGGACAGCCAGGGCTACACAGAGAAACCCTGTCTGGAAAAAAACAAGAGAGAGAGAGAGAGAGAGAGAGAGAGAGAGAGAGAGAGAAGGTCTTACTGTGTTGTGTCACTCTGGCTGGCTTCCAACACATGACAACTCCAGGGCCTCCTTAGCCCTGCTCTAAGTGACTGGGTAATTTATCACCTTCTCCCCAGGAGGCTCCTCCCTGCCCCTCCCTGCCCTTCCCTGCCCCTCCTCATTCTTACCCTCCTGAAGCAGCCACCATTTCGACTTAATCATCACTGTTGACCTCCCCACCACACACATACAACTTGCCCTCTGCATAAATGGAGTCACACAATAGCCACTCCTAGAGATCCTTTTGAAGGAGAGGAACTGAAGCTCCTGTACTTAGCAAATTTAATGTGAATTCCCACCCACAACGACGCCCCTCTCTGCCACCAATGGAAATGAGAAGTTAAGCCAGATCAATGACAGCAAACTCAAGTGTACCTTTTCCTATGCCTGTGACTTGTGTGGCACACATCAAAGCTCACTACAGTTTAAGAAGCCTAAAATCAGGGCTCCAAATGGTTAGAACCACGGCCAATGCTGAGAAACCATTATTAAAGACCAGGGAAATGGGTGATTCTAAGCTTCCTCCTCACTCCTGGAAGAAGCCATTTGCCTGCTTTACAGGACCCAGAAGCCGGACTCAGTCAACACCCACCTTCTTTCTCCACTCTTAAGGGGTCCAGGGCCAGTGGTACATGTCAGTCACACAGCAACACCCTCTAAATGCCCAGCTTCCCTCACACGAAAAACTCATGTTTTAAGTATGTTTACAAATGTTGTGTTTTGCCTGC